GTAATTGCCCCAACATATTTTAATTGTGGTACCCAACATAAAAACTCACTACGATAGTCAAGCAAATTAACTTATCATAATGTAATGATAACTACGCGGGGTTATCAAAAATAAAAATGATAATGACGCATCCTTAGAAATGATATTAGATATCTCAATAAACAAAAAAGCTAAGTATATATTTTCATTTATAGATTGCATCGAGAACAAGATCTCGTTTATCTAAGCTCAATACAATTTGCAAACTTGTAATTCAAGCTGTGGTTTATGAGGTGTGGAAGGAATGGAATTATAGATTAATTGCATCGAACGATATCCAAAACTTATATGTATAGATTTTTGGGTATAGTATTCGATCTTGAAATTTAGAGTCCCAATAAAATTTATCAAAGACACCGTGAAATGAAAATATGGCTTTGCTTCAAATAGTAAATTATTTGTCAAATGCCAACCAATACAAAAAAAAAAATATGTATAGGTAATGGATGACAAACCAATTTGCAAATAATAAATTCTTCGAATAATCAGAGGATCGATTGGAATGAGTTATTCCTCCTAAAGAGGAGATCTAATCCATGTTCATCACATCACGTGTCACGTACGTACCTCACATTTCCGTAGGCTTAAATACCGGAACAAACTTGTAATACTTGCCAATTTAATACTTCCTACAATTATATATTTATATAGTACTAGTATTTATCTTAATAATTTTGACTATTACAATTGGCAAGTAAGAGTTCTTTTAACTATTATAGATAAAAGAATGGTCTCCATTCTTGTTAGACTACCTCCATCAAAAGATTTTTACTAGGGGTTCTTAATAATTTTCATCTAAAAAATAATAGTTAAATATTAGAAAAAATTTTAAAAGAAGAGAGAAGATATCTAAAATTTTTCATCTAAGAACCACTCTTCATATTTTATTTATATTTTGTTTTAAATAATTTTTTTAGAATTTCTCTAAAAACCTTAGATGGAGATGCGGTGTTCTCTTCGGACAAATAAAACAATCACGAATGATGATAGTTACTAATAATTTTATGTACTAGTTAAAATGAAAATGGTAAATATAGCCATTTTTATTATATCCACATCTATTATGACTGTGATAGTTTATAGCAAAATGAAAATGGTGAAAAGAACCATTCTTTTAATTAGCTTAACAATCAATTAGATGAAAATTAGAGAAGTTAATGTAGTCACTAGCATACTCAAAATTAGGTTTGGGCGCGAATCGGATATCCGGAAAAAATATAGTATTTGTGATTTGATTTGTTTTTTACTGATATTTAATTTTCTGATTTGCTTTGCTTCGAAAAAGTTTGGATGACGGATATCCAGATTTTTTCTGAATATTTGCGGATATCCAGATCTTCGCGGATATCTGTTTTAAACCAAAAAAAGTTTTAATATAAGATTTAAACTAATTAATAAATATATATATAAACTGAGTCTAATTTTATTTGATAAATTGTTTAAAAAATGAAAAACAAAAGATTAAAACGGTGAGAAATGAAATATATATTTTTTATTTAAAAAATATATATCAAATAAAGTTAGTATTTATCTATTTTTACTATAAATATATTTCCTAAATATATTTAAAAGTAAAAAAATATAAACATACGTTATAAATCTACCATATTATATGTATGTATAAGTAATATACAGATCGGATAAGATACTTAGATTTTTGAAATTAGTATTTGTGATTTGTTTCGGTTTACATGGATATTAAATTTTATTATTTGCTTCGCTTTGATTCAAAACGGATATCCAAATTTTTTGGATCGGATCGAATTTACTGGATAATTTGCCTCGCTCAAAATGGTGTAGTCAAATATTGTCATAAATGCGAATGTAATAACAGTCCGGCCTATTAATTGTCCTGTTGAGTACACACTAACCATAGCAAATGAAGAGAACATAATTACAACGGATTCATCTTTACTGCTATAAAAATAAAATAAAGAACCATTCGACGACAGGTATCGTGAACATATAATTCGAACACTTGAGAGTTGACTATGATATAGTATACAGATTCTTGACCATTTTTCAAAAATTATGTTACGTATGTATTGATACATAACATGGTTTTGTTGTTATATGAAGAAACTATACATGACGGAAAGATTAAAAAAAAAGTCACCATATTACTAACGTTAAACAAAGAAAGAGATCTGTCCAGTTTCTTAATTCAATTTAAAAACCAAATGTTCATGTGTGTTATATATAAATAATACACACAACATACAAGATAGTTTCAAAGTTCGTCCCCATAAAATTTGTTCACACCCCAAAGATAAGCCCTAGAAAAACATACAACAAAAATGGAAGCTGCCACCATCAACATGTCGCAATTCCTCTTCTCTCTAACGCTCGTCGTCTTGGTTTTCCTCGCATCTACAAACATCCAGAAAACAGCAGCCAGTCCACCATCCTACTCCCAGAAGCACAAAACGTTCGTGAAAACTGCATGCAATTCGACAACATATCCTGACAGATGCTACAAGTCCTTATCCTCCTACTCCTCGGCCATCAGATCCGACCCGATCAAGCTATGCACCACGGCGCTCAGCGTCAACGTGAAATTCGCAAAGGAAGCGACATCAGTAGTCTCTAAGCTTCTAAGAAGTTCTCAGAAATTTGCTGCGGGACGAAGGAATAGAATGTTACCGGAGACACTTATCCTCAAGGACTGCCTCGAGGAGATGAAAGACACAATTGTTGAGCTCAAGCAAGCGATCACAGAGATGAAAAATCTACAAGATGGTAACTCGGTAGCTGAGCATATAACGAACGTGAGGACGTGGGTGAGCTCGGCTTTGACCGACGAAGGGACTTGTACGGACGGGTTCGAGGAGGTGAAAGTGAATAAAGAAACGAAGAAGAAGGTAACGAAGGTTGTTGAGGAACTTGCAAGGACGACTAGCAATTCTTTGGCGCTTATTACTAATCTACGTACGTTACTAGCTAACGAATAAAATAAAACAAGATTAACTAGTATTGATGAATTATATTTAGCAAAAAAAGTATTGATGAATTATTACTACTCCTTGGCCCTTGCAGATGTGCATGTTTCTTTTTTGTTTTCTTCACGTCAAAATGAAAACGA